TGAAGGGCAAGGCGTCTTAGAGTCATCCTCCATTCCTTTCTCTTTTACTCCCCACATCCAGTCGGATACCAAGATCCAACCATTGACTGGCCAAATATCCCCAGAATGGAAATGTCCCTTCTCTCCAAACTGGCCTTAATTTGGTCTTTATCACCTGTGACTTCCACAATCTGGGACCTGGCTTCCCTGCTCCGGGTTCTTGCCTGATCCATGCTTCACACTTTTCTGGAGCTTTCCAAAACACTACTCTCATCACCCTCTCCTCTTGTTAAATACCTGGGGGTACTTGAATAACAGTAGGATATGTTCCTTTGCTTGCTAAATAAGGAAACTCATTTTGTTAGTTATTTACCATGTGTAAAGTGCTCAATGTGTACACACACACACACACACACACACACACACAGTGTATTTAACTCTGATAGTTACAGAAAGGATTTTATTATCCTCCCAACAACTTGGTGAATTCCCATTGTTTGTCAGTTTGCACCAGACCCTTTCACATCTGGCCCAGCGTTTCCCAGTGACTTCTCCTTCCCTGTCCCTCCCGCACCACATCTGAAAGCTGGCCTCACGGCCCTACTTTCCCATTTGAAGTTAGTTTCACACAGCTGAGCTTGTGCTGGCAGGGATGTGTTTGCTTTATCTTCTCTCCTTGGTGAGACACTACAGTCAGACACTTCCTGCTTAAGGAAGGCTTCCCCCTCAGACCCTCACCGCCATCCTTTGCCCCTGGAAATCCTTTCCTTCTTAGCATTTCCACAGTGCTTTGTTCATGAGACATTTTGCTGAGCACCTGCTATGTTCTAGGCATGGGGGATGGAAAATCTGTGTCCCTGCCTTCATGGGGTTGGCATTCTAGAGGGAGGAAATAGAGCACAAACACATAAATAATTTCAAGCAGCAATGCATGCTGCAAGACAAAGCAGGGGTAATGAGGAGGACGGGGACTTCTAGGCTTGGTCAGGGAGGGGCAACCACAGCACTTAGCAACACATGTTAGATTTGGTGTCTGAGTCTCCTTTCATCTCAGTGAGGGAAGGGATCATGTCGACTGTGTCTTATTTCTCTTTGTCCCATGTCCCCTAGCATATATGCAGGGAGTATTTATTGAATAAATCAATAAACAAATGGGCTTTCATATTCCAAAAATTCTTCTGATGGCTTCATAGAAAATCCTGGTGACACAGTAACATGCCTCCGTTACAGGCTCTTCCCAGCAAAGCAGCTCATACTGCTCCCATTTTCCCCCATGATTATTGTACCACACCCAGCCATCTGACAGGGAGAATAAAACTGCATAAGACTTTTCCATTTTGAAAGTACAGGATTATTTCTGGCTTGGAAACCGTTCAGTCCCAGGAATATCGATGCTAAGCATTCGTTCTAAAGTTAACCTATTTCTCCACCTGTACTGTTCATGAATCTACCCATTTGAACTCACAGGAAATGGAAGTAGCTGGGTGGCCCCCACAGCTGCAGGACACAGTCAGCCAGTAGCTTTCTTTTAGGAAAATGCCCAGGGCAACACCACAAGGCAAGAATCCTGAGACATCACATGTGTCCCTCACAGAACACATGCAGCAGATAGATGGGGCGGGGGGTGAGGGGGGAAGGCACTGAGAATTTTCATCCTTCTGCCTTGAAAGTAGAATGCTAACTTTGGCAAATCATTGGTGTGATCACATTTCACATTATTTGGGGCTCTCTGATTAACACTGCTTTTCGTTTGGGTGGGAAAATAGCACGTATCCTTTGATCACGAGCACAAGTACACGAAGCACAAGAGGAAATATTATTCCAGGTGCTTTAAACCCCGGTAACTTATCTCTTACACGCTTGCTCTCAATGAGTTCAGATTTGATGGGGGGGGTGCATTCTATTATTTATGTAGCCTACGACATAATTTTAGGCAATTTAGAAAATCACTTGAAATATAACAAGATTGTATGACTTAAAAAGGGGATAAAAATTTTGCATATGATTTTTACTTGAAATGACATTGACTTATTGTATCAGATCTTTCTCACTGAGATTTGCTAAAACATAATTAAATCCTTCTGTATAGGAACTTAAGACTCCAAAGGAAATAATGGTGCTAACAAAAGCCCGGGGTAATATCTCTGGGAATGAGGGGATTATGTTCCTCATTTTAGTCACTTTTTTGCACAGTAGGTGAAACAGAATCGTCTTCTGTGTGGTGAGCAGTTGTGAAGTTCCAAATGCTTTAGCTTCTCCATCTGAGTGTCAAGACCTCTCAATTCATGGACTTGCACAGCCTAGGATGTCTCTAGGTATTCTTGTGATGGGCAAAGAAGGTGGGGCAGACGACCAAGAGGTGAAAAGATTCTCTAAAACAAGAAAATGTCTATTTTTTTAAATTTCACATTGACTTGTAGGAGGATAGGGGGATGTAGGAGATGAGGAATAATTAGAAAAGAAGAGAAATATTAGAAGAAATCACAACTTAAAACACTGAATATTATAAAAGCAAAATGTGAAAAACCATGGATCTGCAGAGATGGCAGCTTGGGAAGAGAGGATACAAAGTAGGAGTTAAGAGTTTGGGTCTGGCCCAGACTGGCCTGGATTCTTGCATTGGCTCTGCTGTTTACTAGCTGTATGACCTTGGGCAAGGTCACTCAGCTCTTTGGATCCAAGTGTACTGGGTGCTTATTATTCTTAGCTCCCTTCTTGAAGTCAAAAAGTCAAACTAGAAGACCTCTTGAGAAAATTCCCTTTCAGTTTTCAGGAGCACAGTGTAATGAAGAGATGCTCGAAAAGCTGGTGGAGAGGCATTGCCCTGCTGGGTGCAGGCCTGGGAAAAGTTCACTTTTGTTTTTCTAGTCGGGGTCTTAGGTGGATTAAGTCCAGCATTTGGCCTCCAGGGACCCACCTAGCTTCTCCTTAAGCATGTCAAGTCTTTACCCTAAACAGCCCATTACTGAAAATGTTAGTGATGGAAGACTTTGTAGAACTTTTTGGAATATCTGCTTTTCACTCCCTAGCAGTTTGCAAACCCCCCACCCTAAATCTGGGGCATTATATTTGTTCTTGTGAAAAACAAGGGAATAGGGTCTTAAAATGTGACCTTTCTGATGCCCTTTGATATGTGCCAGCTGTGCTGGAGCAAAGAGCCCTCATCAATCTTTGCCTTTTGTCCCTAATTTTCTATAAATTACTATTTTCAGACTTACTAGTAAAGCTTCTTTCACATACAAACTCTTTAGACCCACATGAAAACTTGAAAACGAGTAATTAAACACATTACAACTAAGAACAATTGAGCTCATTTTATTTTATCTTCTAGAAAAGGAGTCTAAAATACCTGAATTCCAACAGTCGGCTTGAGACAAAGGACTTTGTACCCACAGCTGGGGAGCGTCCACGGAGGAAGGCCAACATCACATTCACCCTGAGGTCTCCAGAAACCCAGGGAAGACAGGAGACAAGAGCAGACCTGCAGCTCCTTAGAGGGTGTGGTTGGGGCTGCCCCGGTAGAGTGCCTGGAACCACAAACATGTAGACATTAATGGATTAACCAGAGGACTTAGAACGGGACACAGTGTGGGGACCAGAGAATGGCCAACACACACATCTTCTGTGGACTTCCTCTCCATGGGGCCCTGGGCTCAGCTCTCTGAGACTAGAGGCTATAATGCAAAGACCAAGTTGAGGATGGTACCTTGGTCCATCGGTCACTCTTCCCCCACCTGCCTCCCGTCCATGACCTTTACATGCTCACTCACCAGATTATAAACTCAATAACTATGGATTTCCACTTTATTTAACAATGCTTTGAATGGGTCTTGAGATTTTTCAGGTCTTTTTGTTTCTCCCTATCTAGAGTGAGCAAGCAGAGGCTCAGTAGGTTTTTGCTGATGAAGGTGATAATGAACTCTTTGAAGGCAGTATTTATGGACTCAACCAATACTTATCGAGCATGTACTACATATTAGGCACTATTCTTGATTTATGGTGTTGAGCATAACAGAGTGAAAAACAAAATTCAACTGAGTACATTTCAGAGACCTTATTGACTTTATTCATTGACTCATGAGTCAGACAGCATCCAATCAAGCAGATAAAAAGGAGCTCCGAGGAGCTGTGCAAAATGAAAGGCAGAGGGAGCAGGAACAGGAAGTTATACTAGGCAAAAAAGTGAACTGGTTATTGCCCGGTTACTTTCCTTTAGAGGATGACAGGGGTCTGTCAGGCAGATCATAACTTCATGCTGATCAGGTGATTCCTTATTGACCCGTTTAAGATTCCACTTCTGGGAAAGCTGAAAATGTAATTCAGTTGTCTTGGTTTGGTGATAAACAACTCCATTGTGGGTCTCTTGTCTTGTTTTTAACAATAGATTTGGCCCTAACCCTAATGGAACTTAGAGTCTAGTAGAAGGGACACAATACAACAATAAGTATAAAAGTATACACTCTTATTATACAAGGTGAAATGAAAAAGTATAATGGAGGCCTTAATTAGATAGAGGGGGGTCAGAAAAGGCCTCTCTGAGGAAGTCATCTCCAAGATGAGGGGTCCCTAGCCCACCTAGTGGAGGCTGGTTTAAGAGAAAGATTGGTGAGGCCAGAGCCTAGTGATAGGTAGTGCTGGGGGAGTGAGAGGTAGAGCTGGGAAGGAAACAGGAGCTAGATCACCCAGGGTCTGGAGGACATGTGAAAGACTGAGATTCTAAGTCAGGTACAGTAGGAAAGTGTTGAAGGCTTTAGGGCAGGGTTGTAAGGCGATTTGGTTTTTACTTAGAGGAGGTCATTCTGACTGCAGGAGAGAAGGCTGCAATGATCACAAACAGTCATGGGAAGACAGGTAGGTGGCTAATGGGTGCTCCAGGTAAGAGCTACTGGTGCTGGACCTGGGGTGGGCCAGTGGGGTTGGAGAGAAATAGTCTGCAGACGTACTTAAAAGATAGAGTCAACAGACTCTGTGGTAAAGGAGAGAGAGTTGCAGGGGCATCTGAGTGGATGGTGGCTCCATTTCCAAAAGGGGAATCCAGTAAAGAAGCAGGTTCAAGGGGAAGGTCAGGAGGCTGCTTTGGAAATGCTGAGGTTGAGGAGTCCATGAGAGCCAAGCCAAGCCAGAAGCAGAGCAGGAGCTGGAGGCCGAGATGTGAGCATCCTGGGGCTCAGGAAGGAGATCGAGGCTGCTTGCTCCATGCTGCCTAGCAGGGCTCCACATCCACTAGACAGACTAACACATGAGAACCACAGGACCCAGGATGCTCCACTGAGTCTGCCATTCACCCAGAGGCCCCCAGAGGCCCAGTCTCAAGAAGGCTTAACAGTCACTCTGGCAACATATTTAAAACATTGAAATCCAACCACAGACACTTCAGTTAATTGCCAAGAGGGCACCCAAAGAGTTAAATGCATAGTAAGTATCAAAATTACTTTATTTATCCTTAAGCTTCCTTCCATATTACAGTTCATATACTCAAGTCCCAGTATAATAAAATCTGGATTAAGCTGTTGTAGAGCTTAATGGAGCCAAGTCACAATGCCAAGTTCCAGTTAATACATTTTAAATGAAAACACACCAGCAAGATTTAGAACAAGGGTCAAGAATCGTAAAATAAATACCACAAAATAATTCTCCATTGTGAAATGACGGGCGTCATGCCCCGGGAGCCTAAAATCCCTTCTGAATTCAACAGTCTTTTCACTTGGAGACAATTAGCAAACCATTGGCAGGCTCCGCTCTTACCTTCACCGGGGGGAAGAGAGGAGCAAACTCAGGGAAGCCAGAATCCTGTCGACCTCCATCTCTAAGCTTGGCTCTAGGCAATGTCGAAATGTTATTGCTCTGGTTCAGAGGAAGACACTGATCCACCAACAACCGGACGCAAGTAGAGGGTTAGTGCCTGGGACGAAAGAAGGACCTGGTTGCGCAAGCTTCTAGAATCGTCTAGATGCTGAATGAACTGACATCTCCGGGGACACCTTTGTTCTCTGAAGGCTGCAGGTGGTGGAGTAAATTAAAACTGTCTCCCACTCACCCTTCTAAAGTCAGTCTCCTTATGAATCCTGCCGGAGAATTCAGGTCTACTCTCAGAGAAGACAACCTCTATTACAAACATTTTTCACCGTGGTGATGGTGAAGGCGGGGTCTCGCTGCCACCTGCGGGGGCTTGCCAGGTCTGCACCCACATCATCTTCCAACCTCCATAGACACACTGAGTCCTTAGCTGACGCTGGGACAGTGCCGGCCCCCAGAAAGGCTGAACTGCCGGGCCTTCTCTTCGGCGCTCAGAGCTCTGTGCTGTGGCAGATAATGCCCTTCGGTCAAGAAAATGAGGGGCTGAGCCTCACACAAAAGCCAACATTTGGTCTGTCTGACATGGCGGGAGCCTCCTGGGAAGGCCTTGAGTTCTGAGTGTTTCCCATTGGGAGACATCCCAGCAGAACAAGTCTCGGTTTGGGGCCACCATCCCAGGCCTCGCCCAGTTTTGCCTCCTGGTTCAGACCCTCATGCCAGTGCCCACAGAGTGGTGAAAACTAAAATGCCCCCCTTGTATTTCCAAAGGCCCCACTAAAGGGGGTGGTACCATGCCCTGATGAGAAACACTGTTGGAGAAAAACCCCAGGACAAGAGGAGTTAGGGATCCAGGATGATGTCTCCTCTCAACCGAGTCACACCCGGGCCCTGGATAGTCAACAGGAAACTGTTCCCAGTCTCCCTGCCCCCTAGATTAATCCAGGACATATCCCCCAAAGGTCATCTGGGTCTTTTGGTGGAACCCATGGTTTTCCCTGGCAGGCCTCTAAGCTGCCTCCACGCCATTCTCACTAGCCAGCTTGTCACGGGGGTTGGTCAGCATTCCTAGGTAGCCTGGGTGGCAGGCCATGTTGTCACCTTCCCCCGATTCTCATGGGCCTTAATGACAGCATTTGACACCCAACACCCACATCACAGCTCTTTCTCCTTACACGGTGGTTGGGGACACCCATTCCTTTGCACAAAGGATGAGGAAGAGCCATTATCAGTAAATGCTCCAGTGGATTCTTAAGTTTCTTGAATGTGAGGATGCACGAACAGTTTAATTCTGTGAGCAGAGAAGCTAAAATAGTTGCTGGCTGACATGACTGGTAGCTCAGCTATGTGGAACAGATGTGGATGCCACTGGGCCAAGGCCGGAGTAAATGTGGCCACACATCTGAATTGAATTTTGACAAGATCCTGTTGCCAGACCCTGCTAGGTCAAAAGTAGAAATGTCTACCACAAAATGGAGGGTTTGTCCTTGAAAAAGGTGATGTCGAAGAGAGAAGTGACGACTAGCTTGTGAGCTATATTTGTAGTGCTATTAATACACTGGTCCCAAAACCACAGGAGATCCCAGGTGGTCGAGATGAATGAAGAAAGAGGACACTTTCCTGAGGGTTTGCACGTCCAAGGCTTTACAAAATTCAAAGTTAACTGATGGAGACACAGAGCCGAGTCATGGCCCAGCGTGGTGACTCCATCTCACAGTCCGGCAAATGGACCGTGGTGGTTTCCAGGCCAAAATACTATTATCATTTACCCTAATTGCATCTACTCTGAAGGGGGCCTGCGCAGGGCTGTGCGGGGCTGTAATGTCTCGTGAGACCTCTGGAAAGGCAAGCAGCTTGCAGCCACTATGTCTGGCTCAGAGCAAATAAACAGCAATCGATATCTCGGCCCGGAATATAAACCTAAACCTTCAGGGGAGTTCTTTTCCAGGGTTGGATCTCTGTTTTTCTTCATTATTTTATGTATATATAATATTTTTTCCATTTTCATGCATATTGCTACTACTGGCCGCCGGCCAGGTCTACTTAGCCAAGAGTAGGAAAATTATGGGAAAACTTTAAAAAAAAAAACAGTTTTGAACTGTCTAGAAACAGAGGTATATGGAATTTAGATAGTGGTTGACAAGAGAAAGAGAAAAAGAGGAGAGGCATGCTTTGGGGGCCAGAGTGGAGACATGGCAGAAGAATACCCAGCACTCAGGAATGAATCATAGTGGGATGGGGATGAGGAAAAGAAAAGGAACAAGCAAGGGAAAGTCTGCATTTCAAGACTGGGGTCTGGCGGGATGCTGGACCCTTTGATGGAGCTGGGGCTTCTGCACCAGGTTGGCGCTTTGAATCACTACCTCCACGTTCATGTTCAGATTCAAAGGAACATCACGGAAAGGGTTTGTATCAGCATTTCAACAGCTCAGACCTTTCTCCAGGATCTGCTTCCCATTCTCCAAACCCTCTGATCTCCTCTAATCTTGCAAAACTTCATCTTGCTATCTTTCCATCTAGAGTCTCCCTCCTGTCTCACCTCTGTGAATTGGTGACATTTGGGGGTATAGCCTGGCAGGCTTTGTTTTGTCATCATCTTAAAACCCATTTTCTATGATCCCTCTCCCTCGGCCATCCCATTCGCACCATGCCTTGCAACTTTTGACAGGTGAAGCCCAGCTTTCCTCTGACCTAAGGTTAAGATATGCTATACACCAGGTTGACTTAAAGTTCT